AAGCGTAAACCGGTACGGCTCCTTCATCTGCTAGCGTGACGTTCGTCTCTGATTGGCTTCCGCAGGAGGCCGCTTCCAGCTCTTCACCCAAGAAGCCACGCAAGGACTAAACATCGCATGAAATCGGTACGTTCTTCCATTGCTATTAGTTGAGGTAGGCATCTACTCACCTAGTGGGTCCACCGACGTGTTTACAGCACCTCTCTCCCATACGTTCTTGTACCAGTTGACTCCAGCTTCCCCTGTCGTTGAGCCTATCTTGTAGTCCAAGTGGAATTCAGACGTTACTGCGCAGCATGGGGCGACGATTATCCATTAGCGTGATCACATTGACTGCCCTCAAGGGAGACTCACTCAGATTTCTTGGTTTTCGGGAGGGACCTTCACGTTGCGGCGACGTACTGTCCTGACCTCACGTCTGCGTTCGCTTTGCCGAGCAGAGCTTATCAGGGCCCATGGGGTCGAGGGTGGACACCCGATCTCCAGTGTGGATGCTATGACCAGCGCGAAGATGGTCATGGGCTGTCAGATTGACGCGGGACTCGAAGTCGTCGGGTCACACTGACCTATGCTAGGGAGCCCGAAAGGAGTCATCTAGTTAGAGTGTGGTTCCATTGACTATCGCGACGACACTCACGTTTATCGTCGCTCTTCCATGCCTTAGAGGGCTTGAGGGCTTGAACCTATTTTGGCGCTGTGAGTAACCAGTCTAATGAACCTCACGAAGAAACCTCCTCGTACTCCATGCCCCGAGGATCAGACAATGGCAGAGGTGGACTGAGAAGGGGATAAGAGACAAATGCCCGCGATTGCGAAAGGGAGATGAGCCCCGCCTGACTCTGCATTCAGATGTCCAGGCGGGGGATAGAGGTCGAAAGCAATGGTCGGAAGGGATAGGGAGATTAGCCCCGCCCGACTCTGCATTCAGATGTCCAGGCGGGGGGTAGATGTCGGAAGTAATAGGGGGTTGGGGTCCGAGGTAATGGGAGGAACACTAGCTCAATTGAACGCCACTCACCTATCAACATCTTTCACTTGATACTTCTGGTGCTGCAAGCTGACCCAAGGGGAAGAAGAACAGGGGATTGGGTGCAGGAGACAGGAAATAAAATGACGAGGGGATGAGGGCAGCCAGACGCCCACGTCGCAATGAGAGGGTCGGGCTCCCATCAGTCCCGCCCCTGAGCGCTTGGCTAGTGTCGGCCGGTCTTCGGGAGCCAGGTTGGGGTTCACCTGTTGACGTGTCGACGTTTGGGTCTTCGTGGTGAGATGGTAGGTTCAATAGGTAGGTCCCTATCATGCCCACACAGGTCGCTCGGACTGAGCAAAGCTCTTGTTGCAGGATTCGGCGCACTCCCGCCCCGGCCCGCGAAATCCGTGACGTCATTGGCCTTGCGGCAGTTGGACGAGGAAAACCCCACGAACGCGGCCCGTGCCAGGCGGAATGGCCATCGAGGAGGACCGACTTTGGCACCGCATGTGAACGTCTCGCCTTTACATGCGGCTCTCCTCCCCCCCTCGAGCTTAGCATCCGTTGGCGCAATCCGCAATGGCGCAGAAGTAAGCTCCTTCCAACTGCCCGTTGCACCTGCTACCCCCCAGCTCGTTCCACCGCCTGTTACTGCGTTTACTGGGAAGGCGGGCAAACGCATCCTGGTTGAGGTGTCGGACGGAGATGACACCAGATCCGGCGAGGTGGATAGGGTAACGACCCTGGTCATGCACAAGCGCGTCCGGAGGACCGCAGACGCCGGTGGTTTCGGTGTTGGCGTTGAGGAGGCCACAATGCGTGAAACCGCCATCCCCATACATGTGGAAGAGCTTGACGGGTGAGTACATTCATGTCTCAGTGCATGCGCTTCGTTCAGGCTGACGCCACGCAGTGCGATTGCAAGCCACGAACCAGCGCATGGGGCGCGGAGCACTCACGCTCATGGCACTGACGTCCACGACGACCTTGAGGCACTCAGCGATGGCAGTGACCTCACGGACTTGGATGAGCTGGAGGAGTGAGTACTGTAGCGTGGTAACTCTTCTGACGCTAACAGGGTGTAGGTGGATGAGTCTCCACTCCAGG